TTGTACTGTCATTAAGCTTTTGCGCTTGGATGGCTGTCAGGGCAATGGTGTAGACGATATCTTCAACCGATGCGCCGCGAGATAGGTCGTTTACTGGTTTACGCAGTCCTTGCAGCATGGGGCCAACCGAGACTACATTGGCCGAGCGTTGTACAGCTTTGTAGGTGGTGTTGCCAGTATTAAGGTCGGGAAATATAAATACCGTGGCGCGCCCAGCAACTGGGCTATCTGGAGCCTTTTGCTTTCCTACGCTCTCTACACTGGCAGCGTCGTATTGCATGGGTCCATCGACCAATATGTCTGGTCTTTTACTGCGCACCAAAGCAGTGGCAGCACGCACTTTGTCTACCTCTTCTCCCGAGCCTGAATCTCCAGTAGAGTATGAAATCATGGCAACCCGAGGGAAAATGCCAAATTGGAGCGCTGAATCGGCTGTTTGTATAGCAATGTCTGCCAATTGTTCGGCATTGGGCTCAGGGTTGATGGCGCAGTCTGCATAGACCAAAACTTGATCAGGCATGAGCATAAAGAAAGCAGAGGACACCAAAGCGCAACCAGGTGCTGTTTTAATTACTTGCATGGCAGGGCGGACAGTATTGGCAGTGGTGTGTATGGCACCAGAGACCAAACCGTCAACTTCTCCTAGATATAACATGAGTGTACCCAACATCACATTATCCTCAAGTTCATTTTGTGCCAGCAAGGGAGTCATACCCTTGTTTTTGCGTACTTGTACCAAAGGGTTGATGTATTTGGCAGCGACTATTTCAGGATTCACAATTTCAATATCTGGCGCTAGGGTTATATTTTGTGCATAAGCAGCATCTAATATCTCTTGGCGATTGCCAAGCAGAACACACTTTGCAATCTTTTTTTCATGACATGCTTGTGCAGCTGCAATGGTACGAGGCTCGCTGCCTTCAGGCAAAACGATACGCATAGGCTTTTCTCTGGCTTTACTGATGAGGAAGTGGCGAAAAGCAGGTGGTGTCATGCGAAGTTCTTCTGGCTGTCCTATGTGCAACAATAAAGGTGCAGTATCTATATCATCTGCCACATAAGATACGACTTTTTCCATGCGGGCGGTATCGTCGTAGGGCACCTTATTGCTCATGTCAGATAATTAATTGGCAGTGTAGGGGAAAAATTTACCGCTTCTGAGCAGCAAGTGCTAGAAATTGGTGAACAATTGGACTTGAGCATTCGCAGCTTGGAGATAAAAGAAAAGGATTTGGCAGGATACGTTCTTAACCGTATGCCAGCACATATTGACAGCGAGAAGCTAGCTCAAAATATTGCGCAAAGCAGCGGCAGAAACGCTCCACTAGTTGGCACCATAAAGCTGCGCCCGTCCATGACCTATCCGCGTGTTCAAGACGTGGCGCATTATTTGGAAGC